TTAGGAGAAGGGTCCAACTTTATTCTGACTTCTCCGACCGGTTCTCTGCTTCTAGAAGATGGATAGCTTGGTGATATAAATAAAGATGTGAGCTCACTCTATGTAGAAATAATCGACAAGAATCGATCGTATTACAAATGCTCGTTTTGTGGCCGAAAGTTGTCGAGGAAACAAAGACTCGAAACTCACTTGAGTTGTGTTAATGGCAAAGGTGAGAAATAACACAAGCCAATCACAGTTTTGAATGCGACTACAAATCGTCTTTTACCCTCATATTTATAAAAGAAGGATACAACATTCGGAAGTATAAGAGATACATAGATGATCCCAGTGTACCAGTAAATCTACAAAGCTTGACCGTAGAAAGTGTTCAGCAACACGTTCCAACACCGCCATCTCGATTCCTCAGTCAATCGTTTCCACTGAACTTAAAGCAGTATTGACAACAGAGTAGAGTGCGTCTTACAAAGGAGAAACATTTGTACAAGAGACAGAAGTAGCTATATGCGATTACAGAGGTGCGTTGGAACTCTGGTCCACAAATAGTTATGCACTGCCCGAAGTATAAAACAATTTTGTTGATAGCTGACAGACAGAGAAGAACAACAAGTAAACTTAAGAGCTGTTATTATTGAAGTGTGACTAGCACTTTTCATTTTTATATAAAGAAGGACTTGTAATTTGCACCAAAAATAAAAAGATGTAATGTTTTTTGGGAGATCCAGTGATTGGGACATTTAAGAAATTAAGTTATGAAAGGAAACTTAGTTGATATTTCTCACTACTAACAAGTCTTGTTGACAAATATTTTCAGATCAGAGTTTCAAATAAAGTAAATTGAAGACGTCATATAAAAGGTGTTTTTCCTCAAAGGGAACATTGACTACCTCTGTCTTGTCTGCATGCCAAATGTTTGCAAAGTGTGTGGATGATCCACAAGTATTGGAACTCTTACAAAAATGTTTTGTAAGAATAAAAACAGCAAAACAAATTACAGCAATTAGTCATGAAAATAGAGCAAAAAACTGAAAAAAAAAGCAGCAACAACAATCATGAAAAAAGAAAGATTAATTAGGTGTTGAATTTGTTTGTCTAAAGTATTGTCAACAAAAAGTCTCTGACAGCGTTGGAGACAACTGAGCTTGACTGTTCCAAGGTTTTCTAACAAAGGCAACCAGTAATGTAGGTTAGGGAAGTAAGATAACAATGTAATTATTGTTAATTATTGTGGAAGTTGGCAATTTCCATTTAACATAACTGACAGCTGGTTCATGAGAAAATCCATATTAATGTAAAGATTTACTAAAACTTAGTTTGAGTAATAAATTTCATGATCTTTAAGTTATAAACATGTACATGTATGTATATCTCTTGGTAAGTTTTGTATAGCATACCTTTTATTGAGCCAAAGTTTTAAGCTTCTGAAATTACTCTTTTTCTTAAAACCTTCACATTCAAGGTATTGAGAATTTCTTAGAATTTATGTGGACCTCAGGGTATTAAAATTGCCTCAAATTCAATTCCCAGAAATTCCCAAGAGTTCCACACTTCTTAAATTATAGGTAGTTTGTAAAGCTGAGAATTCCTAGGAATTCCTAGGGATTCCAAGTCCTCACAAAACTGGAGTCTTCCTTTCCCAGAAATTCCCAGTAATTCCAAGCTTTTTAAATCAGAGCTAATTTGCATAGTTGGGAATTTTTGAGAATTCCTAGGAATTCCTAGGAATTCCCAGAAATTCCCAGAAATTCCCAGAAAACTGGGAATTCAGTTTGCAAGGATCATTTGCATAATTGGGAATTTTTGAGAATTCCTAATAATTCCTAGGAATTCCTAGGAATTCCTAGGAATTCCCAGAAAACTGGGAATTCAGTTCGCAAGGGTAGGCCCCAATAGGGGAAAGGTCAATTTGTGTTATTATTGGAGGTGTAAATTATACACTGGAAGTAATCCAGTGATATTTCCAGATAAAATGTAATACGGAAATTCCACAAGAAGAAGCCTGAAACAATTCAGGCTTTGACAGGGTTTGAACTCAAAGCTCTGTGAGTGTTCCTAGTTGAATGTTCTACCAACTGAGCCACAAAGCCACACACCAGGAGCAAGCCAAAAATCACTCCATTGTGACAATTATTCCCTGATCAAAACAAGATTTATTCCATTTGTTGCTCATACATTCCTGTATGGGAGCAAAGATCCTACAATAATATCCTAGCTTATGACATGTGACTTCAAAGCTCATCTGTTTCACTGCCCAACTGATATATGGAGGTGCAGATTAGTACTCTGTCAAATCCTGATTTTTTTTTTTTTGGCTTCTTCAACTCCCTAATTTCTAATTATGAAGGGTTGCCACAGATAGGGAGTTTCTAGAAATTTCTAGAAAGCTAATTAGTCACGTTATATGGATACTGGAGCATCTAATGCAATGTTCTGTTACTTTCTGGAACATCCCTCTAAGTGTTGTTTTACAATCTATAATGCTTAGAAAAAAATTTACTAATATTGTAAGCCTCCAGAACATTCTAGAATGACTAATAAATGTACATAGTATGTCAGTCACACAAAATAATCTTTTTCATCTGTTAAGACTGTCAACTGTTTGGAGAAGCTAAAGAGGGCTACTGTGGCCTTCTATGGAAGGTTGCCTACAGTCATTCATGCATACATACAAAAATACAGACATACATACATTGATTGCACTCTCTGAACAGGTCTTTTTAGCAGCAATAATGAAAAAAAAAGCAAATTCTGAAGAATACAGAATCAAATGAGTTAAAAGTAATTGCTTTAAAAATCATGGTCAAAATGTAAGAAAAAAAAGTGCTACAATATTTCCCAATGTTAAATTAAAAACATTTCAAATACTGTTTTTGTTTCAGAAGAGTGCCAAGAAGTTTGTCAAGAGTCTCAAGAGATTTTGAGAAAATAGTGGTTACTGCGATTTTTTATACTGGTGACAACTGGGCCAATAGCCAGTAATGGGCTATTGTTGTTTTAATTTAACCTAATAACTAAGTCTCTTAAAGCAATTAAGGAAGGCTTTTGGAATGAAGTGATCATGAAGTGATTTGTTGTGAAATAAAAGTGTGGAGGGCCTTAGCCCATAGTTAGTCTCCTCTACTAACTATGCTTAGCCTTAATGCCCAGGACATTGATCAAGTATATTTTAACTTACAATATCTGAGTAATCCCTTCAATCACAAGCACATAACCTTGGTTATTAGTCTTCTGTTTCACTCTATGTAGATTCTGTCTTAAAATCCCATAATGTTAAAGAAAACAATATAAAAGTATTCTAAGAAAAAAAGTATTCAAACTACTTTTATGAAACTAACTAATGAACATAGATAAGAGGATTAGCAGCAATTAAAAGCCATGAAGGAAAATTGTTATGCTATCCCTAAAAGGCCATACACATTCCCCACCCACCCACCCACCCACCCATCAAAAGAGAAATCAGTGACAAAACTTAACTGTCTATTATCTGATATTTACAATAAATGCAACATATCCAGTGAATGAAATTAGTAAATTACTTCAGTAAAGCAAGAAATTGTAAAGAAATGAGTAAAACCCTAAGATAGGATTTGGTGAACATCATGATGATTACCCAGGGTTTGAGCTAGGATTTGACTATTTAGGGTCAATTTGTCCCTTCAGGTTATTTTTGTGGGGACATTTTCCATTTCTGAGGGTCGCTTAAGCATAGGGAAAATTTCAAACTGAACTAAAATTTTAAACATTTAATGAAATAGCAACAAGTTACATTGTAAGGTGGCATGCTTCTTTTTATCTTTCTCTGTAAACTCTTAACTGTATGATTCTCTTACAACCAGCAGCTGATCATGGCCACTAAAATAATTAAGAAAGTGACTATTTGTAAAAGAACAAGACCAACAACTCTGTTGTGCCATTATCATTTTAACAATATCATATTTGTTCTTGCTTCCACATTTCATTGCAGATCCTTCTTAGTTAATTAACATCTTACATGTACATTTATAATAGCAGTATTTCACGATTTCAAAATTTTCCTGTTCTTTGTAGCCCACTCTTCAAGGGCTAATGAAAAATCAAAGTCCACAGAAGGTGGCCCCTCGATGTCTATGATCATAAGTACAACTAACCTGTTGGCTTTTAGTCTGTTTCTCAATGCATTTTTAATCCTGTTTTGGGAACTGAAGCCTCTCTCACAACAATTTCGGGGGAAAAAGCCGCAATTTTGAACATTTTGTCAAAGTATCCAGAATTGGATGAAACACTACTAAAGTGGTTTTGGGAGAAGAAGAGTCAGGATAAGTCTAAAAGTCTTTTATTTTGAATCACAATTTTGTAGTTTAAAAAAAACAACGCTTTACTCAGCCGAGTTCTGTCAGATCGTGTTGCAATGTCTACACAAGCCGTGGGAATGACTGCTTCTGATTGGTCAGTTTCCGATGTTGTCAAAATGAGACAAAACAAACATCTAAATCTTGCTTCTCTTATCCTTCATAAAAATTGCTGTTAGCGTATTAATTCTGCGGCTAAAACCAAATTGTTTATTGAAAAATTGTGCCGTTTATGGTCGAATTTATGTTGAATTTCAACTCTTGCAATTTTTTTTTTGGGCACAAATACTTCAGTAAAATTTGTCGCAAAAATCGCTCGCTTTTTTAGGGGACAAATTGACCCCTGAATCATTTTTGGACGGGACATTTTAAATTTTATTGCGGGATTGGCGCAATGGCGCGGCCTGGCTCAAACCCTGATTACCTGCTATATCATTATTATTATTATTACACCGTTATTGATGCATGACTTGAACTCTGGAAGAATAGTGTAATTACAATAAAAAACCAAAACCTAACATAGTCTTAAAAGAATCTATATTAAAGCCAGGTACATTTTGGAAATTTTATTTCTAAAAGAAAATGGGAAATTGACTTCTTCTAAAGAACTAATTCAAGCCAAAAAAATTAGCGACCAATTTGGAACAACAAGAAAACATTACAAGCAGCAGTTTATAAAACGAATATTTCACTGTTTATAACAATAGTAATGGGAGGACGAAATCCATAACTATTGCTTGTAACAACAGCAATGCGTCTGTCATTATTCAGTGTAATCCCTCTTACTTCCATGTTCGTTTTACAATTTTGGATTTGTACACTACGAACAAACTCACCATCTTTGCTGTATATTTTAACCTCCAGGAACTTGCTCCCGCACTCCTTACCAGCGACGACGAAATGTTCACCTCCTGGGTGAAATGCAATGCATTTGTCATAAGAGTGATTTCTTTGCAGTTTAAACTTGTTCAGATGGTCGCCGTGTTCACTGAATATGTGAACAAAGTAATATCCTTTATGATAGTAGAACTTCTTATCACTATCCAATACTAAAACACGGCCATCATTAGCAACAGTAATATCCTTCGTATACTTCAATATTTCTTCTCCAAAACTGCGAACAAACTTTCCATTACTGTCATATTCCTCCACTGCTCCCCAGAACCTCAGTGTCAGTACTTTCCCTTTATCACTGACTGACAGTCCGCTATACCCATCGTATTCCTCCCCCCTCAGACGAAACTTGTGATGCAGGTTAGCGGTTTCAGTAAGTTTATAAACCCAGGAAGATAACTCTCGCCAACGCGTCTCCAGTCTGGTCAGCACAAAGATATTGTCGTACATGTCTGTGGTTATATCTACAACAAAAGATTCTTTATCTATGTTATCGGTAGGGAGACTGATATGTTTCACAAACGTACCATTTCTGTCAAACACCTTCACACAACGATCTTCAAATTCCCCAACAATGAGTTCTCCGCTGGAGTTGGTAGCGATACCTTTCGGGACCTTCAGCTTGTGTTCATCCTCACCCTTCTGACCAAATGACCATGGTGTTACACAACAATGCTCCATGCCTTGTTGAAGAAGTACTTCGGTTACTCTTGCGTCATACAATGGATTGATTTTGTTGTCTCCAGTATCAACAGTGGGCCAGATCCAAAAGCGTGTATCTCCACCGAATGTTCGCGTGACATCGTAGATGACACGATTCACGTGACAGACAGTGGAGATGATTTCCCTTCTTTCCTCTTTATTGAACAAACCTCTCACTGCCTGAATGCCTTTCTTGAGCTGAACATAAAAGTTATTCTGTACTGCTGGCAGAGAGTTTAGTTCCTCAACACACACTCTGCATGGTGCCAGTGCATTAGCGGGATTGTCTATTGTCTCTAATATGGTCGCCATTACTCGATACTTCATGGCCAGAATGCGGTCAGATGTTTTAAGGCCTTCGTTTTTAAAGGCCCTCGTCGCTTCTCTTCGAGCATCTTCAAATCTCTTCTTTGCAGTGGAAAGCTTTCTTGTAGCAGATTCATCCAGGCCAGTAAGCTCTAACCTTTTGATTCCTTCAATTAGAAGAAATGCTTCATTGGAGGCCGCTGCTGGTGCTGTTACCGCGCCACACTCGCCTCTTACGTTTGCTATCTTAAACACTTCATACAACAACGCAATTCCTTCCCTAAAGAAACTGATACTCGCTTCTAAATCCTTCCTCGATAACGCGTCCAACTTTGACTTGATGTCTTCGATTTCATTGACGATCAGGGAGTGGAATTTTTGATCTGTTACATCGCCATCTTTCAGAATCTCTGCGACCTTATCTCTGCCTTTGCTGGCTAGCAAACCGATGGTGGATTTGAACACGGATATTACTATCGAGGACATAGCGGTTGAATAAAGTTGAGGGTAACCTCGAAAACTTTTTATGCACTAATAGAAATTGTGATCTTTCTTATTCTTGCGCTCTGATCAAATGCGATAACCCAAAAGGACCTCGTTAAATATTCAAAACACCGACGTTATATGACGTCTCCAAAGAATAGACCTCGCTCAACCGTGGAATCTCTGTGGCTCAGTGGTAGAGCGTCGGGGCGCGGAATCCGAAGGTCGGCTGTGACTAAAAGTGGGACGGGGACGTGGGACGCGCGGGGACTCGGGGACGTGGGACGCACGGGGACTCGGGGACGTGATAATTTGTAAAGTAAAATTTTCGGTGGTCTCGAGGAAGGTGTAATATGCTGGAGAGCTTGTCGGGTGACTCTACATCGAAGGCGTTCATCGAAGGTAAGAGTACACGGTAATTTTGGTCGGCGGGGAAACCTGCGAATATTGCGAAAGCCCGTGAAAAGATGACATCTAAAAACTGAAGGCAATTTTTGAATAAGACACTAGAATGCGTAATGATGGCGGCGACCAATCAATCTTCTTTAAACAAATCGGAGATTGACTTCCTTGAGGAAAACCTTGAAAATTGTTCTGTTGAAAACCGGTACTTCGTGGGTTATTTCGATGGAAAGAGGATATGCTCGAGAGTTTTCTTTTTAGTAGTTCCACATGTTTTGTAAAGAAGGCCTTGCACTCAAAGAACTTAAATCACAAGAGGTTTTCGAAAAATGGTGGGCAGTTTCTTTTATTTTTAACTGAATTTTTGCTTTTATCAGTTCAGTGTGGGCCTCGTAGAGACTCGATCTTTTGAAGGCAATTTTGTTAAAACTTACGCAATGCACCGGGCGGAAAAGTGTTGAAATATTTAAAGGTATTTCATATAAAGGAAAGCACTTGGAAAACACTCTAAGTGCGTAATCTAGTATACCGAAATACTTTTTCAAATTATGCATGTGCAGCGTCTCCCGTCTTTGAGCACAATGGTGGTAATGTACCGATCCAATTTTTCGGCAAACCGTTTACCATCTAAGCAATGAAACTCGGCATTGCCTCCACACACCAACAAAGATGAGAATTCCTTTTGAAAAAAGTGTTTGAAATATAATAAAACGTACCAGTAGCATTCGATTTTTGCATAACCCGCGAAACTCTAGTGTTTTAATTTTTTAGGTATTTTAGTGGAGGAATCCATCGAACTTTCGCATACTGAGGAAAAAAAATCGGGAAGGTCATTTACATCCATTTACTTCTGAATTCCCCATAAACGTAGGGTGTATACAATTCCTGAAATTCCCGTTCGTTATTTCACGAATCATTTGACGTTTCAGTGTTGACAAATTTTTCTTATTACGTAAGTAAAAAACATTTAACTTCTCTCAACGGACTCAACGCTGCAAGGAGAATCTTTCTCATAATTTACTTTTTAAGAGACGAAGTTACCGTCTAAAATTCAAACGTTACTGTTAGGCTTATTGGCGCATTGATAACCTAGTAAATAGCTCAAACATACTGAATTTTTTATCTGTTTTTGTATATCTTCATCTGTGAGCCACATGTGACTAAACAAAAACAGAGAAGTGTAGTTTGATGGCTTGTTTTCATGAATCTAGGATTTCGGGAATCGCTATAAACTACACGATCACGCATTAAGTAATATTTCTTCTTCTAATGATTGATACTGGAAGAAAATAGTAACGGTGTCATGCTATTTTATGTGTCCGTTATAAAAATATTTGTATTCGCATTTAGCTCACGGGTAAAAATCCCGTGAAAATTGTTCAAAAGAAATATATCACAGTAGTTATTTTATGACAACCACAAAATACTCAAAACAAAATCAAGAAACTGCTGCAGGACCTCAAGGCTCCTTTGTTCAGGACGATCTTGTACACCTCAGGTTTGAACTTTTCTTGGGAACAAGTGCTGAAGCCTACATAACCTATTTTAAATTTAATCGTTGGACTATAAACTTGTGGGTGTTCGACCCTCGACGAACGCCTCCGCTATAGCGTCACCCGAGCTTGTCAGTAGTAGCCGATGATTTCCAGCGTCCATGGTTCGGCCGGATATGTTTTCTTGTCTGTTTGACCGTGAGAACTCTGAGTACAGAATAGTTTTAACGCAGGGGGTTTTAAACATCGTGAACAGCCATGGAGGACTTTCCTGGTAAGTAACTGTGTTTTCTTCCTTATTCTTTTTTAGCAAGGATAAGGCACGGATGTTTCAAGACCCCCTGCGTTGAAACTATTCTGTACCCAGAGTTCTCACGGTCAAATAAGCAAGCAAAAATGTCCGGCCGAACCATGGACGCTGAAAACCATCGGCTACTACTAACAAGCTCTCCAGCATAAAATAGCTTTCATGAGACCACCGAAAATTATACTCTACAAATTCAGCGCAAATGTTAGGTGTTGTTTGTTTATCACGTCCCCGAGTCCCCGCGTGTCCCCGAGTCCCACGTCACCGAGTCCCACGTCCCCGAGTCCCACGTCCCCGAGTCCCACGTCCCCGAGTCCCACGTCCCCGAGTCCAACGTCCCCGAGTCCAACGTCCCCGAGTCCAACGTCCCCGAGTCCAACGTCCCCGAGTCCCGAGTCTCACGTCCCCGTCTCACTTTTAGTCACAGCCCCGAAGGTCTGAGGTTCGATTCTTCGTAGGAACTCATAATTTTTTCTTTGTCCCACGCTCGTGACAAGACGAAAAACATCTTGCTTTTGCTTTGGCAAATATTCATCATAGCGGCCGAAAGTTACTGGAGTCGATTTCCTCGTTCACAGTAAATCTATGTTCTTCTGCAAAGCATGACGAACTTTGCCTCGGGAAAAAATTTTTATGCAAATTAGCTGGCTGCACATTGAATGTGCAGCCAGCTAATTTGCATAAGTAATTTAAGCCAAGGTTCAACGCCTCTTGGTGGCACGAGGTGTTCGCTAAACATTCCAGAACATCCGATAATTGCTTCAAAAAATGTAATTATGCTCCCCTCGAATGAAATGGAAAAAACCGCAACTTCCGATGATTATAATTCTAATCATTTTCTAGATGCAACTCTACTTTGTTCACTCATTTTCCAGAAACAAGAGTCTAGAGAAATGTCTCGTACAAACTTAACGGGTCTAATTCGAAAAAACTTATTTTCTCTGTAGAGACAACACATGTCTTAAAGAAGACAACAGTAAATCTTTAACACAAGGTCCAAGAATATTCCTGACCAATTGTTACAGAAACATATAACAGGAACAGTTTAAAACACGTTAAACGAAGGAACTAAAAAATAGCCTAAAAAGCGGTACCGGTAAAGCTGATTTCACCTCCATGATCGAAGACCTAGGCCTACGTAAGGTTACCTCAGACAAACCCTTCTTTATACAGGTCATGGTTTTTAACTTTTAAAGTCCAGAAACTGTGTTGATCACAGGCGGCCCAAGCTCCAGCTGTGAGATGATCATCTTACGCAATAACGGTCATGGCGGAATTATAAGAGTTTGTATGGGAATATTTACGACCGCTCTAAGGAATAAAAAAATACATCAAATTCTCAAAAAAAAAAATACCTCACCTTACTTCCACAGCGTATTGCTTGTTATCTGACCGCTTGCTTTGATGAAAAGAGCCCATTTGAGCGAGTTGTTCATTTCGAGGTTTTCAACCTACATAAGAAAAGCCTTTTTTTTCTTATGTACGTTGGAAACCTCAAAATGAACAACTGATGGTCTCCTCGTTCGGTCTTCAAGCTTCGGCGCAATGCAATTATTCTTATAATGACCTTCTATGTGCGAAGGTTTCAGTTTGGAACGGCATTTTTAGCTTTTCCGAAGACATCAGTCTTGTCAAAATCGACTATAACAGGGGAGAAGCTGGTCTAAAACATCGTTATTGCATTTTAGGTCATTGGGAACAAATTCACACGTATGAATATCGTCTTACGCGACTGCCGAGTTAGGAGGGATAAGAAAAGGTTAAAAATAACCCTCAGGTATACGCTACCCAAGAGATTATAGAAGAGATTAAAAATAACCCTCAGGTATATACTACCCAAGAGGGTATAGGAGAGATTAAGAATAACCCTCAGCAGGTATACACTACCCAAGAGGGTATGCAAGAGATTAAAATAACCCTCAGGTATACACTACCCAAGAGGGTATAGAAGATATTAAAAATTAATCCTCAGGTATACACTACCCAAGAGGGTATGCAAGAGATTAAAAAACCCTCAGGTATACACTACCCAAGAGGGTATAGAAGATATTAAAAATTAATCCTCAGGTGTACACTACTCAAGAGGGTATGCAAGAGATTAAAAAACCCTCAGGTATACACTACCCAAGAGGGTATAGAAGATATTAAAAACTAATCCTCAGGTATACACTACTCAAGAGGGTATGCAAGAGATTTAAATAACCCTCAGGTATACACTACCCAAGAGGGTATAGAAGATATTAAAAACTAATCCTCAGGTATACACTACTCAAGAGGGTATGCAAGAGATTTAAATAACCCTCAGGTATACACCACCCAAGATGGCACGAAAAAGTGAATTCACACTTATTTATATCAGGAGATTGCTCTTTGTCTGGACTCTTTCTTTTGACTGAAAGTTGAGGCATCCACCATTAACTTATATAATTATTATCCTTTACTAGTTCCCGAATGTCTTTGTCAAGCTCGGCTATTCTTGACTGACATCATTGCAATTTCCCATGATATTTCGACTGAAGGCGTTTCCCGCCTAAAGTGTACGGTCGAGGGCGGTTTGATTTACCGCATCAACAACAAGATTATATTTTGAGACCTTGCGAATCCATCTGCTGGATTTCTCCCTGTCTAATTAATCCGGCACAGAGACCAATTGAAGATATAACATGCATGTTATTTGGTTACCTGGCGTTGAACGATCAGCCTTTGTTGGCGCGCTTGAGACCTGCTGGCGGGACAGAACGTATTGTGGTCATCGCGGAATCGATGAAACAATTCGTTCTTTGCAAAAGCTTTCGGCCTGA